CTGGACATTTGCAAGATGTACAATAACATATACATTATTTTGAGTTTTTAAAATCGTCATTATAATGCAAACAAATGGTTTGGATGACATTTTCTCTCAAAATCGCATGGCGCACTCTACATTGATGGTGCATCAAAAGAGCCTATCTTGGATTCAAAAATGACGTTGACGTCGGACAATAATATTAACAATCAATACGAAACTAACGATTTTAAATTGGCTCACTACTTGACTAGCCTATTGGTCCCAAGCAAACGATTAACGTACCCCATTCTAGTCGAAATTCTAGTACTACGCAATGTTTGTTTTGATTCGCTATGAAAGTTTGACAGATAAAATGAGGGGTTATTGGTTTTTCCTATGTTTCGAGGGGTGAATCGATTAGCTTGGGACCGAAGAGAGTACCAGAGCTGAGCCAAAAAGTTGAGCACGTTATTTCGGGACCTTCTAGTCTTAGAGTTACCTCTATGATAATATCCGGTCTCTACACGTGTGAGTATTTGAGTGTTTCGCACTTGTTCTGAAACCGTAAGCCACCAGGATTTCAAAATCGGACATCGATTTATGGTCTTTATACGTCATCGCAGTTCCGAAAATATAAATATTGAGGGTATTTGTCAGTATTTCTGACTTTTTCTGAAATCGGAAGCCGCTATATTGGATTTCAATATGACGTCGGACAATGATTTGCGGTCGCTAGACATCATCCTAAATCTGAAAATTCACATATTGAAGGGTATTTGACAATATTCCCCTCTATTTCTGAAACTTGAAACCTCCATCTTGAATTTAAAAATGGTGTCGAACAGCGATATCCGGACTCTCCCATATTGAAGGTATTTTAAAGTATTTCCCACTTTTTCTAAAACCGGAAGCTGCCATCTTGGATTTCAACATGGCGTCGGACGTCGATTTATGGGTTTTACACGTCATTCCGATTCCTAAAATACCGATATTGAAGGAAATTTCAGACTTTTTCTCGTATTTTCAGACGCCCGTATTATGGATGGATGGATTTTTGTCGTGATGTTCCTTTTTAAATGGCAATTTAAATTTGGTTCGTTGGCGAAAGAAAAGAGCCAGAAGCCATACATTGGGACATGAACGAAGAGGTTTCCTTTGGGGTACTACTTGACTAGCCTATTGGTCCCAAGTAAATCGATTAACGAACCCCATTCTAGTCGAAATTCTAGTGCTACACTATGTTTGTTTTGATTGGCGTTGACGGCGACTCTGTAGCTCTTTACTCCTATGAGAAAATCCATAAGCAAACGTCAGACTGTGCGTGAAATATGGCGGACTTTGTACTATCCTTTCACTCCACCGAAAGTTCCCATCAGAAACTGTCAATATTTGCTGGAAGAGCAAATTTTTCGACGGTGCCGTCAACGCCAATTCGCTATGAAAGTTTGACAGAAATGAGGGGTTCGTGGATTTTCTTATGTATCGAGGGGTGCATTGATTAGCTTGGTACCGAAGATAGTACCAGAGCTGAGCCAAAAAGTTGAGCACGTTTCTTAGGGGCCTTCTGGTTTTCTCTATGGTATAAAGTTGTGTTGAACTCAGAGCCGAGAGTGTGAGCTGTCGTACTTTGTCACATGGAAAAGTATGACTGACATAGGACTAGAGTGATTATCTTTCACCCCAGCAGGCCTGGGTTCAATCCCAGTCGGCGCCGCCGGGATGTTCTGAGGCATAACATCTCTGATCACGGGAAGTAAAGCCGTTGGTCCCCGGTTCATGAGTTGATGGGTCAATAGGTAGGCTGCAGGTGTGGAAGCTGCCTCCCTGGCGTCGGTAGGATTAGTTCTCAGCACGGAAAACAAGATCGACGGAAAACAAATCAAGGAAAAAAAAAGAGAATTTTCCAGGATGAACATTTTTTAATGTATCTTGCCGTGCGTTAATGACAAACGTGACAATTCCCAAGCCTGAGCTGTAAATACGCAAAATTAATTGAACATATTTGATGAAAATGAGAAAAGCAGTTATCGGCTATCAAAGAGACCTCATTGGAATGGGTGATATATTGACATTGACCCGACCTAAACACAAAATTTACCCGACATGGGATAGACATCGGATTTAAATTGGTCTTGCATTGATCCGACATCGGATCGACATGTCTGTTCGGGACCACTGCCGTATATCAATTGACAGTGAGTGACTCAATTGACAGTGACGATGAGATTCGTTTGAGAAAGTGGCTAAATATGGACCAACAGGTCTGTGCCATAAAAAGGGAGACAAATTCAAATGATGGGCACGAGAAAAGTAGTTTTCGCAGAACTGATTGATTGTTTGGTTAATTTTCAATCGAATGATATGAACATTAACAGCACTGTTACAATATAAGTCTAAGAAAGGATGTGCCTAAAAATGACAATGTGATTTTCTTCTTCGAAAATAATGATGAGGACACCATACAAAAATGTATGGGAAATTGGTCGTTTTCGAAGCATGATTTAGAATATCAAAAATTATTATGGCACCAAAATAATCAAAGAGTTAGTTCAAATAATCATTAAACAATACTTTTGCAAAGTTTTACGTATATCCAATCGGTAGAAGTTCTCAAAATACACGAAAAACACTGGTTGATCATCGATGATCACCCAGGCCAGAACGAGTAAGCACTCTTCGAAGAAGGGAAAAGCTACATAGGAATTTTCATATATCGGAAATCTCTTAGAAAAACAAGTTTTTTTTTTATTCATGCCCGGGAAAATCTTTCGAGATCCAGATCTCAAACATGTCGGCAGTGAGCATGCATAAGGTCGTAAACGCGATGATCGATTCTCTTCTTCGATTTTTTCCTTTGTTAATAAGAATGTAGCCAATACAACCTGTTACAACTCTGCATTGAAAAAAATCTAGATAGAGCTGGAATTAGGACGTAACAGCTTTTGTAAACAATGACTTTTGTTACAGCTAAGCGTAACTATTTTCTAGAATTTGTTCAATGCAGAGTTGTAACAGGTTGTATTGGCTATCAAAAGCAACACATCAAACGCACCGAGAAACGTTAAATCTAGCGAGTTATTAACAAAAGAGAAAATCGATCATCGCGTTTACGCCCTTATGCATGCTCACTAGACTGATGCAAAATTTGACTTTTTCGCTCCACAGTGCTTAAATGGTTTCAAATAGGGTCCTTATTAGCCTCTCAAAGTTACAACTCCTTTGGTTAGAAACAGACTTCGCACAAGCCATTTGAAGTTTACATGTAAATTACTATGGGAAATCACAACTTTTTGTTCATTGCCTTCGAGTCTTTTTCCATATTGAGCTGCGAAACAGTTCGATAGCCATTCTTATTGAAAATTTTCTCAGCTACAACTTTGCTAAAGATCGTTTCTATGTAAAACGAGACAGGAAAAAGTTATTAATTATTTAAGAGATTGGTAAACTTATGACATGATCAAGCAGCTGCTCTGTAGGCAACACTGTATTTTGCAGTGTTACATAGTAGCCATGATTTTTGTGTCCTATTCAACGCCCCAGAAACACCAATATTGCCTGCTGAGCAGTTGATTGAGCATGATCATAAGACATCAGCGCATTGAACCATTGATAACTTTCGATCCTTGCATTTAATCAAAAAGTGGTCTTCAGCAAAGTTGTAGCTGAAAAAATTACCTACAAGCACAGTTGAAAACTTTTAAAGCAGACCGATATGGTGAATCATTAGATAGACATGAACAAAAATCTTGGCTTTACCATAGTAATTCCCATACAAACTTCAAATGGTTTGTGCCATCTCAGTTTCCCACCAAATGGGTTCAAATTTTGAGAGGTTAGTCAGGATCCGATTTAGAATTGTTTAAGTATTGTGGAGCAAAAATTTCAAATTTTGCATCACTCTAATGCTCACTGTCGAATTGAAGTTACACAACGTTCAAGTTCACTTCGTCAAACGCACCCAAATTTTGAAACAGATGGTGCTTGACGGTGTGACACATTGTCACTACAGTAAGTGATCTCTCCGGCGGAGCTTATGAATGGACACATATTACCATTCTCTCGGAACGCGGGGATGCTAATCGAACGCGACAGTGTTTATGATTTAAATTTAGACGCCATCCCATTCCCAACAACAGCTGACAGTCGTGTGAGCTGGTCCTCGTCTGGTTGATGTCGTAACTTTTAAAGAAAATTTAATGAACGGCGCAAGCGAATTTTTGCGTCCATTGCGGAAACTTTGCCCGCCCTATAAAAAGTAATCCCGATCTGCAGAGGAATGGGATTGCTGATTCGAAACAATTCAAATAAATTAATCCGCGCGGCACTGACCACTTGACGTCACAAGCAGTTTGATAGATGTTTTTGTATTACAATATTTATTTTGTGATGAGATTCTGATTCTCTTTTTCCCGCTCGCCGAAAACTCGTGTCTCGTGTTTCGCGGTATTGGTTAGCCATGGCACCCCCTTGATAATAATTGTAGGGGTTTTGCCGATTGCCGATTGCACACTCGAGGAGAGCAGGAAATTTGTTTTAAAAATATGAAAATCCGAACAACAGTCAAAATATAACCAGAAAAAAAAATACGACGACGACGGCGACGATGATGATGATGATGGTAGCAGGCCCAGGGCAGCGATCTGATGTCCGAGTTTCGCCCTCGCGTTTCAGTCTTGCGTCTATTGTTCAGCTGAAAACTGATACCGTTCTGATCCGTTGATCCGCGCGCGCGCTCGTGTTTGAAGAAGAATTTTTTTTTCGCTACCCTCGAAGTAAAATCAAGTTCACCGCGCATACTTCCCCTGAGAGCTACCGGAATGGCTCTGGAGGAACCGAAGTTGGCCCCGGAGGCTTCCGGTGCCACTGAGGAGCAGCAGCAGGAATCGACGGCCGACGACGTTCCATCGGGACCGGTAAAACGGGACGATGCTCCCGGCTACTACAAACGACCCTTGTTCAAGCGCAACATTATCCCCTTCGAAACGGACGATTTGTCGGTGCGGGTCATTCGTGAACGTTTTCTCATTCCGAGCCAGGTCAAGGAGGGCAGCCCGGCGGCAAAGGCTGGACTGAAGCTGGGCGATGAGATCGTCACGATCAACGGAGCCGATGCGTCGGCGATGCGCCTGGCCACGGCCGAATCCGTCATCAAGCAAGCCGGCGAGCAGCTGCACCTGGTGGTGACCAAGTAAGGACGAACATTTTTCTCTGATCTGAGCTTTTGGAGTGCATGGACGTGGAAGGCAGTGAGTGTACCTAGAAGTTGCATGATTGACAAGCCAAGTGTGATTATAAGATGGAACGCAAATAGCGATTGAGTTGTTGAGTGATGATGGACTGAGATATTTGAACGAGAAAGATTGCTTCCGAGCAGGATTGCGAGCGTGTGTGACAAGTGGGATTTATTTTTAAAATATTTTATATCAAGTTTCGAGCGAATTTGTGATAGCGTAAATGTGAAATGAACGGATGACATGCTTGCTGGGATTTAAACTGATTTAAATTGCAGAGCAGAAAATACTTTTGATACGGAATGGGGTAGCCTACTTCGGCGAAGGTTACCGAAGGGAGTGCCCTGCAAGCGAAAGTGATTGTGTTGTTTTTGTTGAATAAGTGTTTCAAGGTACATAGTTGTATTTTCTTTTACAGAAATCTCACCAAATCCAAATCAACAGCTGAATGTTCTTTAATATCGGTACAGTTGAAAACCAGTATAACCCACTAGCAACAATCGATTTTACTCTCGTTCTGTACGTTGAATATAGTGTCGGAAGTAGTGCGTATCATTGTGCTATTACAGCGCACTACTTCCGACACTATGTTTAACATACAAAACAAGAGTAAAATCGATTGTCGTTAGTGGGTTATTTTGGTTTTTAACTGTACCGATTTTCAAAAAATCTGTAATTTATAAAAAAAATGTCATTTTTACCGAGTTTATTCAGTAAATATTTACAAATTATTCTGTGAAATTTTAGTTGAAATAATTTTTATTTTATCGATGTGCTTTTCACTCCGCTTGACTTCTTCTGCTTCTTATACGTCTTTAGATCCATTCTTTCCTTGGCCCGCTCGACGTTACTATTCGAGGATCCCACTTTTTTAGCCGCGTCTCGAACCGAAGCACTTTTCATTCGAGTGAAAGCTTGCACGATTTCCCGGTCCAGATTTCGGTCGGTTTACGTCCAGATTTTTGCTTGTCCTGGAAAGTTGCTTCCTTACACACTAAGTTTTTTTCGCCGTATCTCGGCAAAACAATTGCCGAGATGGGCACCACTGAGTGCTCGGTAACCATCTCGGCAAACAGCAAATTTACCGAGGATCTCGGTAATCATAAAATTCACGGTTGTCAATTTTTGCTGAAAATCTCAGTAAAAAAACAACTGATTGCTCGGCAAAAGCATCCCTACGGTAAAAAACATACTGAATCTCGGCATTTTTTTCCAATTTTGTTTACTTACGTTAAAGAATAAGAAAAAAATAAATAAAAAGATTGTCATGTGGAAAATAGTTGCAAATAAGAAACAATGCAATGGGATTATAATTTTGTATATCTATTATTTTGTGTATCTCATTTGGTTAATTTTAAAGTTCAAGCAAAAAGCCAAAAAATAGCTTATCAGACGGCAAACATGCTACTCTGTAAACCGTAAACGCTTTACAGAGCAGCACGATCGCCTACAATACATCCGGTCCTGTTCCGACGACCACGTTATCCTAAATAACGTAGCACTCCCCTACCTCGAACTCCTCCCCAACAACTTTTATTTGGGGAATTGCTGACGTCGGCATACTCTTGTCGGACTGAAAGTTTAAACCAAACAAGAATTATTTTCACTCAAACAAAACAGAACAATCTTGATCTTACATCAATCCATTGGATTATACCATGGAGTGGGTTCATCTTTCGTAGGTTCGGATCCTGCTTCCTCGAGCGTTTTAGTCCACGTTTTGGGTTTTTTAAAGTTGTTTTCGATGCAAAAGACACAGACAATAATTAACTTCTGATCTTCTGAAAAATGGCGGGTGGAAAAAAGTGACAGCTGTATTACCGAAATTCGGCAATGGATGAGGCCAATACCGAAATCTCAGTAAATGCGATTGTTGATTTCGGTATTATTTTTATTTACTGATGTGCTCAGCGAATTACTTTGCGAATTTCGGAAATGTTTTTGGTCAATCTCGGGAAAAATATTTTTGTTGCCGAAATATCAGTAAAATTATGAATTGCCGTGTCAGCTCAGTATTTTTTTCTACCGACCTCGCGAATCTGTTTTAAGTGTGTACCATACTTCCGAATTGCGTTTCGAACGGCTCCGATGCTTACACCTTCCAATTTCGCTAATTGACTCAGAGAAATGTTGGTAACACCATTTGTGCACGATCTGTTTGCGTTTTTCCAGAAAAATGCTTCGCATTGTCACGGAAATGTAAAGAACCGATAATCAGCTGTTTCATCAGTCATCTGAAACAAGCAGGGGTGTTCCAAAGTCGTGCTTAGACATTCTGGGACACCCTATATGCTGTCCCTTAGGTAGAGAAGACATTCTGCACATTTTTTTTATCAAATCAATCACACCTAAAATCAGTGATGTCCCATTTTTTTTATTACTCGATTAATAACTAACCGATTAGTTTCTGTTCGCTTCGCTGTCATTTTTCCTCCAATGAGAGTGCAGAACATGTTTGAAACGATGGGTGATGATTCTTTGGAGAAGTTAATGCTTACTTTGATGTTGTAAATCAATTAATCGATTATTCGAATAAAAATCGGACACCACCAGCAGCGTTGCCAGATATACAGATTTATCGGTATTTGTACCGATTTTCCATCTTGAAACCGATATACAGATAAGGCTCCACAGAATACCGATTTTTCAGATTTTATACCGATTTATACCGACTTTTTAATAATCAAAATGGTTATTGCCCGCCAACGCTCAAATGTCATAAGAAACAATTTTGAGAGAATTCAGAGTGTCTACTCAATCCAAGGAATCAAATTCCCTGAGTTTTGCAGGTTTTTCCAGGTCGGATGAAAAAAAAATCAGGTGCATACAAATTATACACATTATTATTTTATCTATTTATCCATCTGGAATCCCTTTTAAAGGGTGATACGGTCAAAATTTGGTCAATATCAACTTGACGTATTTCTTTCAATTTTGCATTTAAAAAACCTGAACACCCCTCATTTTGAAGGTGTGTGTGTGTAGAATGTTGCTCCTATTTTGATTTTGGAATTCACTCTTCAGTTGTCAAAATGCCGTCCAAGCAAGAAGAGCAGCATATCAAAATTTTGCTCGCGCATCGCGAAAATCCGAGCTACTCGCACGCAAAGTTGGCAAAATCGCTAAAAGTTGCCAAATCAACCGTTACAAATGTAATTAAAGTGTTTGGGGAACGTTTGTCGACAGCCAGGAAGTCTGGATCGGGGGGAAATCGAAAACCGGAAGCCGCTGAGACGACAAAGAGAGTTGCCGGTAGTTTCAAGCGAAACCCTAACCTCTCTCTCCGAGATGCCGCAAATAAGCTGGGTGTATCGTCTACAACCGTGCATCGAGCCAAAAAACGAGCCGGACTATCGACTTACAAGAAGGTAGTGACTCCAAATCGCGATGATAAACAAAATACGACGGCCAAAGCGCGATCCCGGAGACTGTACACGACGATGCTGACGAAGTTTGACTGCGTGGTAATGGACGACGAAACCTACGTCAAAGCCGACTACAAGCAGCTTCCGGGACAGGAGTTTTATACGGCAAAAGGAAGGGGAAAGGTAGCAGATGTTTTCAAGCACATGAAACTGTCAAAGTTCGCAAAGAAATATCTGGTTTGGCAAGCCATCTGTACCTGTGGCTTGAAAAGCAGCATTTTCATAGCTTCCGGGACTGTCAACCAAGAAATTTACGTGAAAGAGTGTTTGAATAAACGTCTGCTGCCTTTCCTGAAGAAACACGGTTGTTCCGTACTGTTTTGGCCGGATTTGGCATCTTGCCATTACGGTAAAAAGGCCATGGAGTGGTACGCCGCCAACAACGTGCAGGTGGTTCCCAAGGACAAGAACCCTCCCAACACGCCAGAGCTCCGCCCAATTGACAAATACTGGGCTATTGTCAAGCGGAACCTAAAGAAGACCAAAAAAACTGCTAAGGGCGAGCAGCAGTTCAAGGCAAACTGGCTTTCTGCGGCGAAGAAGGTGGACAAGGTGGCTGTACAAAATCTGATGGCAGGGGTCAAGCGTAAGGCCCGGCAATTCGGATTTGGAAAAGCGGAAGCCTAACTGAATATTTTTCCTGAATTTTATACTAATTGAACTTGAAAAAGAAATTTAATTTGAATTTTTAAATAAACGATTTCACCGATTTACACGCGTTTTCCCTTGACCAAATTTTGACCGTATCACCCTTTATGTACTTATTGATTTATGTTATTTTCGATTGTTTAAAATATGGGCGTTGGTACTTATAAGTCGGCACAGCAAAAAAGTTATTGAATATTACAGCAGAACAGATGCACATAGGTTGTTTAATATTAATTTGTACAATTTATGTTTAGTAAATGCACCAATAGTGGAGGTACGTTAGTACAATGTAGCGGCTTAGGAAGACTCTATCACACAGAAGAAAAAAAACATAGCTAAACCAAACAAAATTCGTTTCATTTTTAACAAAATTTTGAATAGAATTTGGATCAATAAAATTGATGGAGTAATCCAACAAAATATTTAGTTGAAATAATACTTCAATGTTTATTGAATGAAACATCGGTTTTTATTGATTCAAAACAATGTTTGCTTGGATCAACTTGAAGCATTATTCAAAGTAATTAGCGTTGTTAGTTGTCTTGAAACGTAATTTTTATTGTTTCAGAATAAAGTTTATTTAAATCCCAGGTTAGGTTAACTAGTCTTTTTTGAAACATAAACCAATATTTTTCAATTCTGGTTTCAAACAAGTTATTTACTGAGCCACCGTTTATTTATTTATTTAATTGCACCATTTGCTGCGTGAATGAGTTGTAGAACGTGTTGTCCTTGTGTGCCTTGATATGCACCATGATGTCGATTTGTTATTGTTGATGGTAATTTTAAAGCGATTCTGCTGCTACCTCGGCTGCCACTAAGCTGCTGATGGTGACGATGCTGCTTCAACAGGGATGGTTCTGTTGAATCTCCGGAACCAGACG